TTAAATCGATATAAGGAAAAGCTAAAAGTACTCCATGTAATACACATATTTTATTACCAACAAATGAAAAGCGATATAGAACAGGTTGATTCAATCAATTTTTCAATAAACCCCAAATAGGAAGAGCCCTTCAACGCAGGTAGTGTAAGGTGATTACAATAATATTACGCGGTCTTGAGTGTTGCGGTAAAATTGTATCTTATTTCTTTTGAGGCATCATAACCTTGTTAACTGGTCTTTTGCTATCATTTATTTCTAGGTTGTTGAGATGACCTACGAACACTAGCATTTCAATGGGGATTTTGTTTGTGCACGATGGGGCAAACAAGAGAATATAAAAACCTTAAAAAAGTCCAACACGACAAAATTGAAAGTGTTGCAGACTCGGTTTGATTGAGCCTGATCATGGACGGTACTGGAAAATGCAAGTTACCGTCCACGCCCCCTAGCACCTGCTTAAGCGGAATTCAACATTTAAACATAAAATTGCAAAATTTGACAAAGAAAAAGTCGCATAACTTTGGTTGCAGATTATTACGAAGTCACTGTATCATAAACTGTTGCAAAAATGCACGGTAAATGTTGCACCTTTAATGGTTTCATAAAATATTTGATCAGACAATGTCAGAGACTTTCAGTTTTATGTCCTAATTGTTTGTTTTCATGGTCTATTTATACAATTCATGAACAAAATGAATAAACAACACACGTACAAAAAGAAATCTAAAAAATACTCGTCAACCTTCAATTGAAAAATAATTCAATATAAACAGTAGCTATGTGTATTACTTACCAAGACTTTTTACGCATTCAATTTTACCATTTCCTTCCTGACACCGGAAACCAGACAAACACTTCTGTAAATAAAGTGCAAAAACGGGTGTCAGTTTCTGTATTGTTTATTTCTGCTCATTTCACATTCTTTGAAAACTATACGTTAAATGATCAAGTAAACTGAATTATTAAAAAAAAATCCAATTACAGCACAACAAATGTAAAACAAACTGGTGACTAGGTTCGAGCTTGCTCATGAGACTGGTATTGTGGGGTACGCAATCAGCCGAAGCAACATTTAATCCTAAACACTGAAGTATTGCAATCAACGATTTCAAAGTTAATGTGTTTGTTTTGCAGAATTTTAAGGTTCCCCGAGACAGTAAAAGTCGTCCGACAACCTTCATGCACGAACGGATACCTTGGAAAAAACACCAACCTACCATTATCTTACTGGATATCTTCCTTTTATCCTTTCGGGATTCGAAACCCATAGTTATTATTGAAGAAAAAGAATCAACATGATTCAATTAGTACAGTTTTCTGGTAATTTTCACATAAAATGATTATTATTTTCCTGTCAGATAAAAAGATGGTCATGTCCATTTCATATATATTTTTTGGGTTATTTATCATTAATGACTTTTTTCTTCGTTTTAAACCCTTGTTTATTTAAAAACAGTCGTGCAGCGTCCTGGTGCCATCTTATTGTTCTAAACAAAATTAAATCCTGTTTAGGACATTAAAACTGAATTGAGTAACTAAAATGAAATACCTGATAAGTTGTGCCTGGACAAGGTATTCCAGTACTATGGTCAATTTGAGGTGGCGCTGGAGGTGCAGGTTTTGGTTTTAACCACCAGGCAGATGACGTAGTCACACACTGAAGTAGGAAAGTAATAACAATTAGTCACCACTCTGTCCTATAATGAATATGTATATGAAATTGTAAATTACAATCAAATCCCCACTTACTCAAATGACACGTGAACACTGCAAAACGAAAAGTAATTATCCAACAGTCGTTCAGTTGATAAGTTGAAATTGGATTCTATTATCATTATTATTATTATAGTTATTATCATTTTTTTTAATTAAAATTATAATTATTATTATTATTTATTTTTTAATTAAAATTATTATTATTATTATTATTATTATTATTATTATTACATAAATCATAAATCATTTGGTTAAGAATTTTTCAAAAGTCACTGAAATTATTATTTTTATGATTGTCTAATGATAAATAGCATAAAATATATAAAATAGGTAAATTTTAAAAACAAAAGTATATTAATCGAACGTTTATTTCATGAAATGAAATCATTAATTATCTTAATATTAAAATTCAGCCCACCAAAAAATAACTTACCAAAACAAGAATAAACACTGTAGGTACTCCCATGCTGATGGTGTCCACAAACAGCAACTAAACATAGTAAAGCAGACTTTAATTTTATATCATTCCGCCTCTACACAGACACAATGGTATCACTATCTCCAGTCATGCAACAAATTCATAACGGATGTGGGTGAAAAGTAGATACAAACTTGAATAGAAGATTGAAGTAGTTACAGTTTAAGAATTTCGAAGACTACTTGGCCTGTAACGACAGATGTCAAGTAAATACAAATAAAAATATTGTTATTCATGCAGGCTTGCCACAATATTCATTACAATATTGTAGGAACATAGAGGGGTACCAACTAAGAACAGTCAGCAGTAAGCACTAGTGGGCAGTTTAACTGGTTAATGGTTGACAAAGCCTCACTTTTAGCACCAACATTGCTTTTTTGCAAGCGGTACCAGAAGTCATTATTAAAACATGCAAATGGTTAAATTGTGATGGGGCAGACGTGTTTATACGGTCATCGAACCGCCAATAAGCATGTTAATGTCATTCCATAAAACCAGGTTAATGGTCCTCATCTGCCCGAAAAGAAAGACAACAATGGAATAACAGTTAAGTTTCTTTTGTAATTGAACAGTGTTCCTTTTTACCTAGCGAAATGTGTTGTGCTATGCAATTTCCTCTCTCCTTGTCTGGCTCTGGTTGTGACACGCCCCTCTCTATGTCCTACCGTTGTTATGACACGCCTTCTACTTGCCCCGCTCTTGTGTCTGTTTAAGTAGTTTTTCCTACTGAATGTCTTACGGTTTTGCGTAGCTAGGTAGTTAGTGGCTTGGTTCCCTCGCCATTGCTGATCATTTCGTTTAACAATTTTAGGACTAGGAAATAGTATGCTATGAATGTATGAAAGATAACAAATTGTCATTTGAATTGTTAAAAAGATTTGCTATGATTTACCTGAGACACGGAATGCATTTGTTTGCAACACTCGTTGCTTCATTATGACATATTTTGTTAACTACAGTTTAAATACAAACAAAAGAAAAAAAAGAAAAAGAAAAAACAACAACAATACAACGCAACATATTTGCTATGACATAATGCAAGAATAATCGTGCGTGTTAACAACTGTAAACATATATTAATTAAAAGATTAGCAAGTGACCACGGCATAGTACTTAAGTGTTTACAGAAAAATAATGGACTACACCAAAGTGATCATTAGTGTGGGACGGTCATACTTGTAGATAATGTTATCGTTGTGTATATATTCTATAATCATCGACTGTCTAATGATAGGTACATGTACCTTAACCTTAAAATATTTCTATTGAAGTATGATAGGATGTTTTATCTGATGATAGCAAAACAAAGTTTGGAAGAAATTTAATATCTACTATTTATTTCACAGTAGCCTTGTTTTAATATTATATGATCTGCATAAGTAAAGCTATCAAATAAAAAACTGATTCTTCAAAAAAAAAAGGAATTTGCTCTGAAATCTGTGCTCACATTTTGTTTTACTTTAAAGCATATAACAGTCTTGAAACATTTTTACATTAGGTGTCATGCCTCAACCATTCAACTAGATAGTAACTGGATTATCAGTGGTCTTAGGAATGGGGTCAAATAAATTATAAATTTAAATACAGGTTTGGGACTGAAACTTGTGGTCTTAATTGTGGTCGTAATTATAGTTGACAATCGAAGATAAGGTCTTAATTCCGGATTAGGTCTTAAGTACGGTTTTTACTGTATACGAGTTTACATATAGCTTATTGCTACAAATAATGCAAAACATATCGTTTGTTTGTAACATTCCAGTTGTACCTCTTTGTTCTTTTATACCTTAATCTTAGTTTTTTATTACTTATTCAGTTATATTTGTTTTGGTGATTGTACAACATATGATAAACACTTGCAACGAACGCAACCCCACACAACCCAGCAACACCGGCAAAGAGCCCATCAGGTCACAAAATAAAAAAAAGGACAGAGGACAAAGGAAAAGCTGGACGGGGTCAAGTCAGGCAAAACAATTGTTTTATGGGTACCACGTACAAATATCTTCATTTTTCGAATAATCTACGAGCAAGACTCTTTAGATATATATTCTGAAACATATTAACTCTGAAATGATTGTACGCATGGTTGCAGAAATGCGTTTTGCACTAGGACATGCTCTGCAGATCTGCTGCATCATCAGTTTAAACCAAGCATCACTGCGTAAGAAAGGACGCAATTTCTAAACATTGAATCCGGGTTTATATTCTGGAGGCCACGTTATCTAAATTGCATCTTACTTTAAATTGATATTTATGATATTCAAAACAGGTAGTAAAGGTGCCAGGTAACATTAAACCTCACAAACAACATGTTTCAGCAATGTAATGCACTACGTTTTACCTTAAGATAAGTAAACAAAAAACTGTCTAGGTATTGCATGGTTAATTTATATCATATGTAAACGATCTTTTAAACAGTTAAAGCCGGATTTTCAATTTTGCCGTGAAGGGCTTCTTCATAGCAGATTCTTGTTCTTTTTGTTTTGCTATTTCATTATTTCAGCCACTAAAAAACTAATTAAATATAGAACATTTAGATGATATTGTTTATTATACAAATTAATATAAATTCATATGAAGAACAAAGTCAATAACAAATGGAGACATTCATTGAACGCATCCACAGGACCACCGACAAAGAACCCAGCATATTATCACGGCAGGAGAAAAAAAAGTAACACTATAATTGTTAACGATATATATAGATTGGCAAATGAGTATTTGAATAGTAATTTAAATAAAATAGCATATGCTCATACTTCACAATGTTTAAATACAGTAACTTAAACTATGTTCTATCATACTGTCTTATACATTTATTTGAAAAAAAGACCCAAGTCCCCCAAAACCCCCATCCCCGGGGGAAAACACATACGTTTCTCATTGTTATTTTAATCCAGACATTCTGTTTTTATTTCTAATTATTTAAAACTAGGTTTTGGTTTTCTTATATAATTGGCAGCAAATCGCGTGTCATAAATACTACATTCTCCTCATTTTTATTTCCTGGTAACTGTTTAAACACGATGCCCTACTAGTTACAAAACCGATGGTCCTGTGTATTTTGTATTTGTCGGGTTGGGGATAACTAAGGCTAGGGTTGCTGCAATGAGTGAACGTTGTATTGCCTTATTATTATTATTATTATTATTATTATTATTATTATTATTATTATCATTATTATTATTTTTATTATTATTGTCCTCCGCCTTTTCGCCTTTTCTTTAGAAAATGTATTGTTGCATTTGCAGATCAAGCATTGATCATAATTTTGGACTGAAAGTCCTCAGATACATACCTCAATCTTTTAAAATAGCACATTTTTATGCTTCATATAAAACTCTGTTACAAATTCTTGTTGTTATTATAATAATAATAATAATAATAATAATTATTATATTTATTTATTATTATTAATATTATTTTTATTTTTATTAATATTATTTTGTTCTCGTTCTATTCATGTTTATTCAGTTTGCGATGATTTTTTTTTTAATTTACGACAGTATGTATTACTGTAGTAGTGTATTTTTTTATACATTTTCCATTTACTTTTCACTACTAATGCAAGGCATAAACTGTATCTCTCCAATTTTTTCCTTGCATTTCTTTTGTTGCACTCAAAATATTGTTGTGTCTGCAAGAACTTCACCTAGTTGATGTCAAACGATTTTGAATTATGATAAACAATAACCAGAATTGTCAATTCGTTCTCTTTTATTTCCAATACGTTCGTGCTAGTCTACACGATCAGACAGCAGGTTTTATCATTTTATGTTCTTGGTCGTCGTTTAATTCGTTAATTCGTAATTCGTAATTTATTAATTCGTATCTCATATCTGGAAGAATGAGATTTCCTTAATTTGTTTACTTGTTTATCAATTGACTATGCCAGAAAAAAACAACAGCTATGTTTATGTGGATAAAACAATTGATATTCTACTCTTCTGAATTAAATGATAACAAAAATGTTAACAATGACAATTGCACAGCTATTAATTTTAGCTAACATCTAATGTACATTTTACCATTATTGTATTCAATTTATTTTCTTTTTTAAATGTAATTAACGTGACTAACAGAAATTTTAGGAATTTGAAGTATAATATGGAATGTACAACAACGGTGTAGTCTTAAGACAGTTTTAATATGTTGTCCTAAACATAAAAGGCAGTTTTTATATGACTTTGTTTTCCTGAACATAAAATAAGGCAGTCATTACATATTTCCTTTTTTCTTAACATAATTGCCCTTCTTTGGAAATATAAACATCAAATTTGTTTACTTAAAGTAAAATTTAAGAGTTTCTGTTGGACTGAAGATAAACAGTTTTTTATTCTCGGATGACGTTGTATCATACCGCTGTCTATTGCATCAAAGGAAATTTGGTTTCAAATGTCAAAAAGTAAGCTGACTGCTGCCACAAACAGGCTCGATCAAACCGGGAGTTTTTTTTTCTTCTCCATCGTAACCACGCAACACCTACACAATATGTCGGGACGTTCTTCAGTTCACGTTGTCTCTCTCTCTCTCTCTCCCTCTCTCTCTCTCCCTCTCTCTCTCTCTCTCTCTCTCTCTCCCCCCTCTCTCTCTCTCTCTCTCTCTCTCTCTCTCTCTCTCTCTCTCTCTCTCTCTCTCTCTCTCTCTCTCTCTCTCTCTCTCTCTCTATATATATATATATATATATATATATATATATAGCAGCGCAAGACATTTATGTAAATCGTAAAAAAAATCATCTTTAAAATGACACGTGTTGATTTTTGTGATTTATGTGAAATGACGAAACCTTTTCTTCAAGTTTTGTATATCATCAAACTCAAATTTTGGTAAAAAGCAATTAAGATTTTGAGATTAAAAGAGCTACCCGGATACAAGTCCCGGATTTTTTTTTCGTTTATTTGACTTTAATATACCATTACCTTTTGAATGACGAATGTCATTATACATTAGTATATTTCTGCAGTCTACATACAATCATATCATCTTATATTTTTTTTAATTCTTTCCTATAGAGCACTTGTAAAATGTTTAATTTTCTCATAACCCTACATTCTTACCTTTTAAAGCAAATGTTGCCTGTAGAAATCCAAACTTAATAATTTGTTAAGACATGTCACAGATGTGTTAAATAATGTTTTAACACTGTATTAAGAACATGTTGGATATCTAACAGCTGAAGT